TAGGTCTGATTCATAACGATTCAGTTTAGAAATTGTAAAAAGTTCGAGAGAAGCTGGTTAACAAACACCTTTGTCACTAAAGCAGAAATGGAATTTCAAATAAGCCAATTTGCTTATTGGAATTTCTTGGTTTTTGACGAACGTGATTTAAGCACGGAATAAAATTGCAAGTTTTCAAGCTGCTGGCGCAAAAGCGCCGCACAGAAATTATAAAAGGATCAGACAATCGTGGCGGACGACGTTTCCCTTCCTTTAGGGTGCAAAACCGATTAACCGGAACTGAATGAAATCGCGTTCACTTTTTTAATGTTCGAATTGAACTTCGATCCGTGGGCGGAGTTGAAAACTGCATCAGCGTGGAAATTTGAAAAATTAATATTTTACGCAATGGTTCGCATATTCCGACTAGACGTGGTGCTCCGCGGTGCGCCGTGGATTTCAACCTTTTAACTCGTCGTTAATTAATTAGTCACGAACAGAAATCCAATAATAATATTCGAGATGGAGACCGTATCGTTCAGCGGAATTATTAAAATCTACCGAATCTCTGTTTTCTCGATTTCTTTCATTATCGAAATTAAAATGAACAGAGAAGTTCGGCATCAATTCGAGTCCAGGCAACTTTGCTCTACGTCGAACGAATTAAAGCCTGCATTATATGAGAGATGAAATTTTTCATCCTTAATTTATACTTCACTTTTATGTTTTCCTGGTATGTAGGGAATGTTAAAGTAGCATTCATCTTTCGAGGAAAGATATTGATTCACTTAATTTATTGTATTCATTAATACGTCTCGATTGTTTTTCCCCCACAGTTGTACTGAAATTATAAAAACATTTCTGTCAGCAGTATTTTGACGAAATTCATTATTTGGGCATAGACGTTGTATAGATTATTGTATTTTATTTGACTTAATTTAATTTAATTTAATTTATTTCAATTTAATTTAATTTATTTCGATTTATTTTAATTTATTTTAATTTATTTTAATTTATTTTAATTTAATTAATATTACAATAATATAATATAATTTAATTTAATTTAATTTAATTTAAATTATTGTATTTTATTTTATCCTATTTTACTTTACTCCATTTCATTTTCTTGTTTCATTTTATCTGCTTTATTTTATTGCATGGTATATGATGTGTAAGGAGATGGACCACTTGTAATCCATAACGAAATCAATAAAGTTCATTATTATTTAGGTAATGTTCTAGTGTCGAAGGCGTCTTATTCACCTTAAATATTGTTTAAACACAATTAAATCTTCGCGCATCATTTGTAAGAAATGAAATGCGTGATTATCTAAACCAGATTCAATAAGTAATTCCATCGATCGCAATATTACATCCTGTCAAAAAAGAAAACGGATGTCTCCGCCTGGCAAACAACAACGTCAAAGAAATCTTGAACAATAGCAACTTATGCAAAAAGCTGTTAGAATACAATATATATGTATATTTCACCAAACTTAGTATCAAATCACTGCAATTTAAGTGGCTACTCCAACAGTGTGATAGCTAGTGACGCAACTGCAAAAACAAATGTAAATAATAACGATGTTAACAAACAATACATCGCGTTGGAATCAGGAGAGTATGCACAATGTGTCGACGCCGGCAGCAATTTCGCAGCATTCGCTGTTAAAGCAGGAGAAATTCTTAAACATAAATTTGCTTTCTTTCGCGAATGAAATTATTTTTTAAACGAAATAAGGAAAAAAATCACTCTTTCTCGGTGCACGGAAATCTCTAAGAACGGAGCAGCGATTATCGGTACGCAAAATAGGTGTTGCAGCTGGAATCGTGAGAGGTGTTGGCCGTTTTCGTCGAAGTGTCTGTCCATCGCAAGACAGATCTACTTTGGAAGAAGCAACGCGTTAAGGGGGACCGTGATTAATACCGAGGCTGCCGTCTCGTTTCCCGGTGGAATTCGTAATTTTTCGGGGCCGATCTCTGTCCGTCAAAGAAGCTAAATGCCCACTCGAGCGGAGCCCGATGTGATTAATGTCCGCGTCGGATTCGTTCGGGCGCTTTTCGTCTTACGCAATTCGTGGAATGCGGACGCCACGAAATTTAATGTCCGCGAGAGCCGGCACCGGCCTCGGCAGAAATTTCTTCTTGTCCTGTAATTAGCTGGCACGGCGAGCACATTCAAAACGTCGCCCCGCGAAGACAGCTTGAAATTCCGGCGCCGGGGAATCGGAAGAATGCTTTGTCTTCTTAATTGCGAAAGATTGCGCGAGAGAAGTCACTTACACCGTTCCTTTTCTTTTTTTTCCTTTTTTTCTTCTGTTTTTTTCACCGTGCCGGCTGTCTCGAAATTCTACGGTCTGCTTATTGGCTTCGCGTTTATTAATTACTCGAGGGCTATTCCGGTTTCGTTCGCTCGCGACCCACCATCCATTTTTTTCCTTTTCCAGAGATTTTCTTCGAACTACTTCCTTCGAGCTGTGCCGATGTTGAAAAACGAGCACAAACGGTTGTTCTGCTTGACAATTATTTATATTGCTTCGTAGAAGCACACAGAAACTCGCGTTTTTTCCCCCCAGAACGGTTTTAGTTTCAATATCGCGGAATTTTTTAATAATACGTTCAGCCGTGTTTCTCGAAATTCTATAATTCGTGGAATTTTTCGGCTACTGGTTTCCTGGTAGCACAGTTTCAATTGCTATTAATTGTTATTCATACGTCCGTTCTCTTGCGCCAGTATTGCAGGCTTTTTATGATACAATCACGAGGTATGTGTACGACCAGACTGCGGATTTTTATGCAAAATAAGAATGATCTGCATCGATTGCAACAGAAACTACATAGCAAATTCGTTCTTTTTTTAACCATTTCAGAAAAATTAAAAAGTGTCAGTGCCAGATTGCTTAAGAATATCAAAATATCGAAATATATACAAGAAACTAAAATATATTTCTTTAATACGATGTCTTAATTTTTCATTATTTCACGATATTTCACGTAAATTATTGTAATATCCAAGACATTTACTGCCCACGTAGTCCAAAATAGCTTGGAGGTCTCGCTTTTTTCCAATACCTTTTTTTCGAGTATACTTGAATAATGTAAGTTCATGCGACATGTCCTCCAAACCTAATCACACCTTTTCGCAAATAACACTGCTCCATACGATGCATTGGTACATTATTGTACATCGTTCCTACAAAAGCGGCGCTGGACAAACAGGCAATGTCATCTATTAGCATTATTTATAACTATTTATAAATACCTGAATGGTATATTAGCGTATTCTCACATCCAAATTTCTCAATGTTGGCACTTACGTTGTTTTCGACAAAGGCTGCTGAATTCTCGATTCGGCTGGAGACTTTGAAAGAAAGCGGCGATTTGGCGGGGCACAATTTTCCATAAAGTCGGCGATGCGTGCGGCGCTTTTGGTCAGCTGTGCCCGGCGCGAAAATCAATCAAAATCGGAACGTCATTGCGGTGCGTCGGGCACGCGAGGGTGCACGCTTGCGCAGCTGGCACCCGCTCGTACCCGCTCGCGACCCGCTCGCTCGCTCCGCGTCGAACAAACCAGAAAGAGTATCGGGTTTCGATTTTGCGTTTTCCGGCAGCAGGACAGCAAAGGCGGCAGATTTTCGTAATAACGTCACGTAGAGAGAGCCGTCGGGGGAGGAGGGGCCTTGGTCGGTCGATGGATCAAAGGAGGAAGCTGGCCCACCAGCAATTCGTGCTTTTAATTTAGCTCACGAACCGTTTGGCCTCCGGCAGCCAGGTCGTACGTGTCCGGGTTATCCTTACACAGAAATAACAAGAACGCGACGCTGAAATTCGCAGCCTACTTTTCAAAATGAAATCTTAAGCCCGCGTGGCCCGTTGCTTTCATTTCCGGGCCAGATGTTAGAACCTTTCGCTGAATTCGAGAATTTTCTCGGCACGGCTCCCAACGACCCCGAGTCCGCGACCACGATCGCCGGCACTCGGTTCCCGATCGTGATCGTTTCACGATTCTCTTCTGTCACGTGTGTCACGCGACAGCTTTGGCAATCTACACCGACCAACGATGTCTCTCTCTGTTCGGATATCTGTTTACCTTATTTATAAACGGAAAACCCCATTAGAGTACACAACAGATAGATAGAAGATGAAGACTAACAAATAAGATTTTAGTTTAACGAAAATTGATTCGAATAACATTTTAGTCGAATGAAAGTTCGTCGGGATAAGATTTTATTCGAATAAGAATTTCTTCGTAGAGCAATTCGTACGAAAAGTAATTGATTTGCATAAAAATGATAGAATGTAAAGTGTTTTCTCATAGTTTATCGATGTATTCCTTTCATATTACTTTTTAGAATTATTCGAATAAAGAATCCTTCGAATTTATGACGAACAATGAATTGTTTGGATAACAAATTCAATTAAAAGAACTTCTTTCGGATAATTATATTCGATAAATTGTCTGACAAAATAACTATTGAAAGTGGACTGGGATCTGTGATGAGCGTCACGCTCTTCCTACTCACCTTAGAAAAAAAGTAACAAACATTTCAACGTCTTTATCATCAATGTTCGATGACGCGATTTAAAACGGGAGAAAGATTTAAAGCATTTAACACGTTCCGTGCCACGTGTATCATCGATGGTACACGCTTGCATGTTTACTTAGTGAACTGAACAAATTGTTTACAAGAAATTTAGAACCGAAGAATCAATTTCCACCGCAAGAATGGGCGTTGATAAGTTTTTGTTACGTTGTTATGTGTACGAGAATTAATAATTGCACGTAATACATCAAGTTTTAGTAAAATATCAAAGTGTGAAGATTCGAGTAAAAAAAGCTCGGCACGGAACGTGTTAATAACGTTCGATATATTTATTACTTGTGGATCACAAGTTGTGATCTGCTTCTGCTAAAGTAGAAGTCTAACTGTTTCTAAAATAATTGAATTGTTTTTTATTTATATATATATATATTATATATTTCATTTGAATCACAGAAATGACACCGTACACAACGCGACAACTGTACATCTCAACAACAATGTTCAAACAAAACCGAATGCAACAAAGCGGGACATTACCGATACTGAGTAACTGCAAATTGTAACAACCCTAACCGTGCATTGTTCACTGTAAAGTCGGTTTCTGGAACGAAAAAAAATGACCACCTAGGCGTGAAACGTTAACACAAAAGCGTGGTTAAGTATTACAGAGCAAATGCGAACTGATAGAATGAACGATGAACGATTGATAATCGCCTGAACATGTTACATCGTTTTAGTCGATAAATCGTATTCTGCATCAGTGATTATACTGCAGATTCGAATTTTCAGGCTTGCTTGGATATGGGCAGGGAAGGTTAGCACTGTCATTGCCATACTTTCGAAGAATGCTCGCATGGACTCGGCGGCGTTGTTCTTCATTATCAGGCTCTTCGGAGCGAAGGAAGAATCGGATATTGCGGGTCGTACGCTATCCGTCATGGAGGATATGTCTTGATACCTTCGACAAAAGACTCTGCAATTATTTCACCGGTCTCATCGATTAAAGGAGAACTTTTAATTGCAGTTTCTAGCTTCGAACCCTCTGCACTCGAGAGGCGACTCTAAGGCTACACTGTAAATAAATGCTGTTTCATCACGCTCCAAAGTAATAATCGAATCACCAAAATTGTTTATATTTAGAAAGCTGTTAAATGTGTCGTGTGTGTCGCAAGACACAATTACATCTGCATAAAATGCACTAATCGTAAATCACAGAAAATGGAAGCACTGTAGTTCAGAAAAATTATTTTGTATTTAGAGTTAAAATGTCTCTGAGTCCAAAGGGTTAAAACTACGCGCTTATATCACTTCTCCTCTGCTAAACACGCGCAATTAATCTTTCGAATTTTTCGAAATGTTTCTTTTATTTCAATTCGAGAACGAGACGGTGCTGAATCGAATGAATCAAACATTCTCGACTATTTCAATAGAATCGGAAAATTAAAGCAGCCTTAAATACAACGAATGAAAAGAAAGGAACACTTTATCCTGAACGATTTATTCTGACAAAAAAAGAAAACTTTGTTTCAAGAATTTAGGAATTATTTTTGTAGAATAAACGATATAGTTTCCATAAAAGTGTTTGTCACTGCTAAACGCGACATGAAATGCTAGAAACAGGAGTTCCGCTTCTAATAAAAATGGCACAAAAATGCGAAGTGCATAAATGATACGGTGCGGCAATTAACCCTCCGCTGTCCCGCTCGGTCAAACTCGGCCAACATTTCTTTTCGAAAGCGTGAAATTAACGATTCATTCGATACACTTGGAAGCAAGATGTGGAGTTCTAACGAAGGAAACGACGTTCTAGAAAGTTCATATTGTATTTTCAAAATTTTTGCGTCTCATTAGTGTTCCTAGTTTTCGAGCGACAATTGTTTGAAAATTCTGACGACACACGTGCCTCGCGTAGGAAGCGCGACGTCAAGGACGTTACTAAGAAATGCGAGCACTTCGCATCTTTTCAGATCTGCTCCATACTCGTAATTGGCGCGACGAGTGGCCCAAGATTTCGAACACGTGTGCACTTCGTGACGGGTTCACTCGTCGTCCAACGGGTTAATTCGTGCAACGAAGCCGGGACGTGGTGAAGTTACACACCTGCGGACATTCGACTCCACCGATTGCCTCTCGCGGATCGACAGCTCGTCTTTCTGGATAGCCGTGCTCATTCTTGATCGCGATTTCGCGTTGGCCTGCTTCGGCTGCGTGACAGCGTTTGAGACCAAAGTCGAGTTGGTCCGGCCCGACTCCGAGGCTGTTGATAGCTGCGAGTGCTGGGACATGGATCGTGTGCTCCGTTTCCCGCCTTTCGGCGAGCTGCAGGTGCTGCTTGGACAGCTGTTGTCGTTCTGCAGATCCAACCTGAGCGAATTTTCGCGAACACGATTTTTCGGTTAACACGTTCGGCGACGATTATTCGTTATTCAATTGTCATTAGTCATTATTCAAGACAGTCGTTAATCAATTCATGACGTCGAAAGTAGAAAGTCAGTTGACTCGGTGCACACCAGTCGAGAGGTTCTTTGAAGAGAACTTTATCCCCCACGTGGTAATAGTGCAAAACGGTAGTGAGGAAACGGATAGATTATTCTATCGATTCTCAAACAGCCAGTTACCATTTATACACGCAATTAATCGAACATGTATGCTTATCAAATGTAACACTCTTCAAGTAGTTCCATTGGTTCGACTAATAACATAAAATTGTATTCGGGCTTGCGTATAAGAATTATTTAACCCTTTGCACTATGGCAACGAGTTAGACTCGCGATGATGATCTACTGAATTATACGGCACAACAAAATTATAGCATAGACAAATTTTGGATCAAAATTGGCCAACGTTTACCGACGATAATTCCGCGAAAAATCATCGTAGGATGATGAGTTTTTCTTTAAATTTTACCACTGTTTCTCGATTTTAAGTTTAATGCACTCTCACCACTGTAACCCTTCAAACGTTAGATTATGTTTGTCACATTGAAAATTGCCAGGTTCAACGAAACGCACGGACTTTGTAAAATTTTGTTCGGAGACGACGTTTGCAGTCGAACGAAGTTCGATTCTTCCGCTTTAATTGAAGGCAAAAGAAACGTTGCTGCGATTTTTTTGCGAATTGGGAACACTTTAGAGTAATCCTTGCATTTTTTAACTTTTTAGAGATCGGTTTTGCAATCGATAAATAACAATATAATAATAAAACTAAACAGCAAGCAAACTAGGGACAAAAGTGTCTTTAAACACAGTTTGATGAACATAGGTAAAATGTGACTTAAGCATGTCATTATTGTACAAATATTGAATTAATGTGAATCGACTATATTTAGAAAACTTAATTTGCGAGAAATTCCAGGTAAGCAAAGTTCGAGATTAATGCAGATCATGTAGTTATTAAATATACTTTGAAATGGTTGATTATGTCAAGGTTATATCAAGGTTATTTATCGTTGTCTATACTTATGGAATATAATTTCAAGTCGCGGATTGTTCGAGTAATTTTCCTAGATAAAATTAGATCGATCGAAAACCTTTGGAATATCATTTTCTGATCGTTTTGTTCCGCCTGTTTGAGAATCGTAACGTCTTTCCGAGCAGTTTTTGATATATCCACGAACGACAGAGACATTTCGGTGTTCCCATTTATGTGTCCCGTTCCCCGCTCCGTATACTTCTATCAACGATCGTAAATCGATAGAAACCATTTCGGAAAGGCATTTTTTCTTTTACACCCCTTTCAGCTCCCTGCTCGTGAATGGAAAACAATTTTGAAGGTGGAATCCCTCGGGGACAGAAACGAAAACGCGGCAAAAGAGCTGAAACAGGTGTCAGGAATGGATACCAGTAATCTTTCTAACAGCTAGACGACTGTTGGCAGAGGTATACGTCTGCACAAGGGGACTGTTTTGAAGGAGGCGCGGTGTACACAGAAACGGTGTTATTCAGTTCCGATGTAATTCGAGCGAACATATTGAAGGAAGAATTATTAAAGCTGCGAAAGTCTTCGGAAAACAGTAACATACAAAGTGCGACTAAATCGAATACAGTTACAGGTTATACGTTTCAGTATTCGGTTATTAATAGTCATCACTAGATCGCGGATTTTTATGCATTTACGACTAATAATAAAATTAATAATATTTATTTTTTAATAATATTATTTTAATTAACAATAATAATAAAATTTCCTCTGGTTATCTGTACTTCATTTGTACCATTTAAAAAGGTTTAGTAGCCCGTAAGTTAATAATAATAATAATAATAATAATAATAATAATAATAATAATAAATACTGAAAGCGTTTAATAATAACGTCGATGTATTACTTCTGATCTACGAAAATGATTAAAACCGGAACTAAACTTCCAAATGACTTCTGTTCCGTACAACAGGCGCAGACATATTTTTATTTTGCATAATGAAACAAGAAAATTTGATTTAACAGATTTTCTCGAGGTCTTGCCAGACCAGATTCATCATAACGAAACGTTAACATTTCGTTGAAACACGAGATTGGGGACTGTCACGAAAAGTGAAAACATCCTCAATTGTACGATCGCAAACTTTGATCAAAAGCCAACGATTAATCAATACTCACGAAGGCGCGGACAAAAAGTCGAGATTATGCGCTCGCAGGCTCTTCCTCCTATTATTCGAATCCTTGATTTTCAACCATCGTTGTTTCACCGCATCCACTGAAATCAAGCAAATACGTCCGATTTAAAATTGTTCGAGCCACGTCATTACTCGTGCTGACTATACTTTCTTCGGATCCGATAACGTTCAAACGTTTTAATTGCAGGAATACCTGGCGCATTAAATTTATCGGCGAGGTTTTCCCACATGGCGTCTACCGAACACGCGATATCATCCCGCAAATTAGTTTCGTACATAATGGGATTGCGTTTCACGAATTCGATCAACTCCGCCTCGTCGATTACGTAATGGCTCTGCATCGACGGCCTGCTGACGCTTCTCGGCATTTTTTCTCGTGGAAACGTAAGAACGAAAAATCCAAAGAAAGATTCGCCGCGATCTATTCTTTCGTTCACGATCACGCGAAAACGTTGCGCCGACTGCGAAACAATAAAGCGCGGTTTCGGGAACGGTTTTGTTCGCGGTCGATTTCCGTTTGTTTAAAATCTTGGCAACCGGGGAATGTGCAATCTGAAAATTGTCACTGTAGACTATATCTATCTTTTCCAGTTACAAAACAAAATGTACAATTGTATCGATTTCCGAACAAAAAATTCCGATCTGTAAGTGTGGTAAAAACGTGAAAAAGCATTTGATTCAGTAATTTGCCAATAAAGAACAGGACTTCTACGAGCGTGTGATTTCAAAGCCGTCGGGAAAAGGGCAAAAAGTGTTCTAAATATTGAAACATCGTCTTTCATTTTCTCGTGAAGGAACTTTCCGAACGTAAATCGAAACATTTCGTTTTTAATTCGAAAATTACAGAGTTATGCAGAATGACCGATTAGATATTTTTTGTTTCGCAGTTGTTGAAATTTTATGAAAAATGTTCCAATTAATTTCTTAATCCAAACATACGTTACAATAAAAATGGCAGGTCTAAATGCGGTTTTTTCGTCGTTATAAAATAACACACGTTAGTTATTTTTGGAGTTTGGTTGGTTAGTGTTCATTTAGGTTAAGGTACGAGATGGTAATATGGACACCTGTTCTCGGAAGCTTGCCATAAGCAGAGGAATTTTTTTTTTAATGAAACTTATGCGAAGAGATAAATGAACGAATAAAACAGAACCGCGTTGCCTTCGTTAGAACAAAATGTTACTTTACGAGGTCCGTTGATTTTTGACAGACAACCGTTTAGGCTGAAAAGGAAAAATCTGCAAGTTCCACTGTGAAAATGTTATTTAATACCCGGCTGTGTTTAACGAAATCGTTGTGCTATTTGGCCCGGCGAGTACGGCCATAACCCGCGGAATAATTCTAATCGTCGAAGTTCCGAAAAAATTACACAGAGCCGAGCCTTCGTTCCTCGGGGACGCGAGAATGGCGTCATTAACCGAAATGAGCGGTCCCTTCTTTACTCTTCCGAAAGAATCTTCCTTTGACTTCGCTGCTCCGCCGTCTCCTCCTCCGACTTTCCGCGTTATCGCCTGGGACTTTCGAGGGAATGGGGCCAGGCCATGTTTAAAATTCTCGTTCCTCGCGATTACATTAAGGACGTCTCATGCGCGCGGCCATTAATCTTCCGGCGCGACGTGTTGTTGAGAATTGTGTAACGCGGCGATCACGCGTGTCTATATTATCGTCGGACCTCTCGTTTCCCTCTCATTTGAGCCTGTTTCGACGAACAATTCCGCCGACGAGCATGCAGTTTGGAATTTTTCTGTTTACTGCGCTCCCGGAGGCTGTGCATGGAATTTTCAATGGCCGCGGCGCGGCAGTGCGATGAAATTTTTACCGAAACAATATGAAAATTTAGCGCTGCCAGCCAGTTGTAGTTACGCCGGATGTTATCCAGTTTTCGAGAAAAATCGCGCACCCTGCTCGTTAAAATATCCTTATTCGATAAAATATACATGTGGCTTTATTCAATTTCGCATCAATTAAAGTTTCATATTTAATTGAAGCTCGTTCAATGCTAGTAGTTCGTTCCTTTTGCAGATATTTCAAAGTTGCGCGACAGCGGCATCGATTATTTTTAGTTGTTTCTCATTTTGCAGATGTTTGTGCGAATTTCCCGGTTTCGTTTTATAAAAAATATGAACGAAAGTATCTTTCGTTAACTAGCGAATCTCTCGTAGCGAGCGTCAAAGAAAAATGCTATCAGTTTCCATTAATATTCCTTGCAACAAACGAATGCTACAGCGAACAGTTTTTCTCACTAAATCAAAGTAATGCGATGAAAGCAGGATTTATGACTCCCTCGCCTTCATCTTCTTTATAATTTTGTTATAAATTTACACACATGATCAATGTATAAAATTTAAATAGATTAAATCAAATTTATCGTATGTAGATTTGTATGCTTCTTCTATATTCTTTTATTTCATATTAAATATCTCCTACGTTGTATATGAAATCATCGTACTCGTTTGTAACTGTGCTGTATATTTGGTAATAATAATATTCGGTAATATATCAGTATCAATCAACGTATCGCATAACGAATACATATTACAACGATCGATGTTCTAGAACGAACTAGTTCGTTCTTATAGAATGCATCTGTTTGCCAACGCCTTGCATTTGAATGCGTTTGCGATGCCTTGTATCCGAAGGCTGCATTCGATATTCGACGCAAAGCGCGAGAGCCTATAATAAAGTCTTCGCAAAGCGATCGATGAATCGAGATCGTAATGAGAAGGCACTGTGCTTGTTCCGAAGAGGATAAATCGATGTTTCGCGCGAGAAACTTGCGCTTTAACTGTTCAATGTTCGAGACATCGGTATCGTATTGAATTCCTAGGTAATATCTGAGGAGGCAGAAGCTCGCAAACAATGTTCGTTATTACATTGCTTGCCAAACAAAATGGTACTCGTGTGTAGAGCAATTCCCCGCAGTCTTATTACCCGACATCCGCTTTCCTAAAGAGTATAATTCACGAGAGTCTACTCAGAACTACGGTAGCTATGCCGCAGAGTTACCACCGCGTCGTGTGGACACGTAGCATAAGTTCAGCCCTTAGCGGGCCGGTGTCCCTCCAGCTTTAATGTCTGCTGATTATAATCTCGTCAACGAGTTATGCCATTAGAAGCAGGCTACGTCATAATGCCGCCATCCACCCACGCCTTCCCGTCGTCCTTATCCGTTTCCGTCGGCCGGGAACTCCTCCGGGGAGATACCGTTGTTCTTCATCCCTTCTTCGCCGGAAGTAACGGCGGCGTACCGGTCGAAACGTAGTTACTGTCAATTACCGGATTAAAGCCCGGCTCGTTCGGCGATGCCAAATATTCGACGCGCGCCATTATCACGCTCCTCTGCTGTCTTCGTCCCGCCCCGTAACGACCGTGATTATTTCTCCTTTGCGCGCGCCGACAGAAATTAACGCTGTCGATTGTATTCGAATCGACGTTCAATTGACCCGTAATTTCATGCTTGTCCCGCTCAGATTTTAGCCGAGCGCCAATTTCCACTTTGACGGACAAAGGTCTGTATCGATCTTTAGGTTGTTCAAATTTTCAAATTATTTTAGACCGAGTTCGGACAAATTCGTTCGTTCGACCGCGAGTTTCCACGAGAAGTCAAAATTGCCTTCATCGATTTTAAGATCCATACATTTCTTTCTTTAATGATACCACTGACACGATTTTAATAGGCTGACACTTTATAGATAAATGCATAAAATTATTAGTAAATATTCAATTTTATAAAATGTATAATTTGTTTTAGTTTTTAAATAAATTCTGTATATCGTATTCCGTTTTATACGTAACTCAGTGAATTTTATACAATGTGACACTTGTACTTTTGTCTCTCCGGTTTGTATGGAAATAAATCGTATAAACTAACATGTTTAAAAAAATACTAATTGAAGGCAGGTTTAAGAAATATTTTGTAAAATTGAATGAGAACCGTCCTTTTCTCTGATGAATCTTTTCTTATCGGTTAGTTGGGTCCTAGTTGGATAATGTGCTTACACAGGGCATTTTTAAAGAAAGATTATTATTTAGTAAATTGTTTTTATTCAGTGACATGGTTTTAAATATATATTATATATATTATCTTTATTTCATTCAATTTCTATTTTATAAAATGAAACATTCATCTACTTATAATGTAACTTAAAAATCATATGAACTAATATATTCGAAAGATACGAGTGTAAAAAATATTTCAAGGCTATCAGTTTAAAGAGTGTTTAAAAGATACCAGCTTAAAAAGATTTAAAACATACTAGCTTAAAAAATGTTTAAAAAATACCATCTCAGAAAGTGTTTCAAACATATTAACGTAAATAATGTTTAAAAGTTACCAATTCAAGAAGACGTAAAAAACGGAGTAAATAGAAATTGCTAATTTCTAACAGAACTCACCGATTGCTAATATATTTGAAACTATTTCACTAAATAAAAATAGTACACTGAACGATAATACCTCTCTAAAAATTCGCCGTTCATGCAGATTATCCAACTCCGAGGTTCAACTAACCGGTGAAAAGCATTCACCGGACAAAATGTCGAGACCGCGGCGCAACGATGTAAAGCCGTAAATATGCCGAGCGAGGAAATCCTCGGATCGGAGGGAATAAATCGGCAGAGCGCAATTCGCGAACACCGAAAACTATCTTCGAAGGCCGGGGCCGAGAATTTACAGTCTGTTCCGGGGCAGATACAAAAGTTCCTTTCCATCTAACAAGAGTCTCTCGATGATTCCGTGACGACTTCCGGCGCTATCGCGATCCGGCGAATCTGATTCGCGAGTTCGCGATTTCGTGCTTCGAGTTAGCGCCGGTGCGCGGCCCTACGACCGGCGGCAGGGTCGCGGAGGAGCGAGCGAAGATGAAGAAGAAGTTGTAAACCCGTGCTTAAGCAGCGCGATAAAAACTTTCGAGGGCAGCACGGCCACGAACGTATTTCCTGCCCTCGTCCGGTAACAACTGCGTCCACGGGATAAAGGTACGGGTCGACGCGACCGTGGCTGCGGGGTTGGAGGAGGGGCGGGGGGAGGCGGAAGAAGAACGATGGCGGGAGGCTTCGAGGGGAGACAATGAAAAAGAACGTATACCGGGGAAACTTTTTCGTTTGTGACGTCGTTGCGCCTCGCTTGAAGCGAATTGGACGGTGCACGGTTACCTGTAATCTTCTTTCGGCTTTCCCAGATGCCTCTTCGTCTTGTCGACTCCGCCTTCATCATTTTTATCTGACGCGCCTCGAGGTCGGTGTCGATCGCTCCGATGTACAGCCGAATTATACACGGCGACCAGAGCTGAGTAATATTTGAGCCGTTTATTTTGAAAGTGGCATAAGTCACTTTACCGTAATGAAAAGTGGTGATTTTTTAATGTTTATACGAAATTATTTATACCGAGAAAAATATCAGTATCCTGAGATAACAAATACAAGTAAATCTTCTCGAAAGTTAGCATCC